TCTAATAAAAAAGGGAAGTCTTAAAGGTTTTAGTGTGATATTTACCATATTTAATGAACCTAATAAAAAGGAAGGACATCATTTGAAGAATCCTCACTCATGAAACTATAGATAAAGATAAAGACATTTTCAATACCTACTGCTGTTGCATATAGCCTACAACAACAGAAACTTGTCTTAATATTTTTGAAATATCAGTCTTGAAGCATGGATATATATATCTCACTGAGATTATTTCTAGTCTTTCATGGGTTATCTTACAGAATCATGGTTGAGAAATGAAAATTATTGCCAAAGGAGTTACCTTAATAATTTTGCTTCCTAACCTGGTTATCATGAATCACGTAATAGTTTAACTTCTCAGCACCACATGGCTGTCCTTTGTGGAATTCTCTTGTTCACTTGGTTTACTTAAGCAGTTTATCACCAAGGCATCTAATAGTATTCCTACCTGATCTCACATGTTTATCCTATTATTATTAACATCATTATAAGTATAATAATTATCATTATTACCTATCATATATTATCAACTGTAAATAAAATAATAAAAGTAAAGAAACAAAAACGTTAGAATATGCTGAAGATCTTTTTACTACATTACTGAAGAGGCAACATAGTAAAAAAAGGCCATCTAAATATTCATGTGTTTTCCTGATCTCCTTACTGGTTAATTTACCATTTCTTCAGCAAAACACTTCACAGTAATAACAGCAATGAAACAGTGTAAAAGGATTAAAAAGAAAATAAGGATATCAAAGCTTAGCAGCAACATACCAAAACCAATGAGCAGGGGGTATCCCTTAGAATGCCTTCCACACATACACAAAAAAGGAAAAGGAAAATAGGAGCAACAATGCAAGAAAATCACCTGGAATGCATTTTCTGCGATGATTTTGATCATCTTAACTTGCCGTGCATAGTCTAGTTTTGTTATTGTACCTATGGCAGTTTTGTGTTGGTTTCTCCTCTCCTGGAAAAGACTCTGAACTGAGAATTGTTAAGGTTAATCAAACAGCATCTGGACGGCAAGTATAAGCCTGTCACGCACAGATTTAGACAAGGGATTCTGTATGATTGTTATTATAGATCCTGTCAAAGGTACATGTGATCGGCCACAGATGATTCGACATGGCATTGCCCAAATGAACGAGTGAGTGAACCACATCTTAAATGCATAAATTACCAAAAGAATTACCATATGAACCCAAAACCTTCCTAACCCTGGGGTATGCCCCCGGTATGCCTTATCTTCCTATGGAGGCTTCACCCCTGAATCCCCTCCCGATTGCCATATTTCCCTACTGGGAATTTCCCTACCGGTGCCTCTAGATCGCTAATGACTGCAATTAGAAATACAAATTTATTTTACCTTGAAGTTGAGGGGACAGTGAGTAGGAAGTGATGAACTGCTGATGAAATTCTACAACTGGAATATGGTTATTGTATTTCACTGAGTTTAGTACTATCCCTGATATTGTAACGATTTCAGTGAAAGATCGATTCCACTGCAAATCGGAAACCCAAGTAGTACTGTAAAAAACTTCACCTTTGGAACAAACAAGAACTGTGATGACAGAAATGTCAAATTTGCTGGGAAATGGCAGTGATGCGCAAGTATGGAGGTACCTTGTATTTCTAATGAAACTATGGTACGTATATGGTAAAATCGATCAGACTGTGTATTTAAGGAAAGAACATTTGATAATTGCTTATTTCGTTAAAATTTTATATAGATTAGAATGCAGAAATACATTATATTACTGTATACTTCTAAGAAATTTGCCATGACATCACAAGCTACATGCACCAAAACAATTTATGTTGGGGTCCCATGCAGCTAAATTGTTTGCTGCAATGCGAGGAGGACTGGACTTTGTTGCTGGAGGCACATGGTGACTTAGTCTCTGCGCAGCATTCTGTGTGCCACATTTTTGTTATCTAACTTGAATAGGTTCACTTCTGCAAATCAATTTTGATAGCAAAGAATGTAGTTTTTCATCTCCTACAATGCTATGACCTTCAATTTTCTCCTAGTCGGTGCGGTCCTTCCATCAGTACTTAGAACAGCCATATTCCAATCATTATAAATTCATTGGGTTTAAGAGTTTTAATTGTTTCAATTCAACACATCTGAACTAAACTTCCTGCCTTCCATTGCTAGGAAACATACAGAACTTCCACTCTCAACAAATGATCACTCAGTATTTCTATGATTTATCTTTTGACAACACAGAAAATATCTTTGAGAAATAAGGCAGACAGAGCCAGCAACTTTCTTCTCACTGTGCATTATGGTGATAGTAACTATATGACAGCATTGTAATTCAGGAAACTATCATTGTCTCAATTTGATAGGATTCAGATATAGCCAGGTATAACTAGCTAACATAAATGGTTCTAAGAATGACACACACACTATAACAAACACAATCTGAATTTGAGGTTATAAGAGCATTTCTTCTGATCATTCTAAACTCATTAAATAATCAATAAAAAGATTGTCTGATATAGTACTGTGTCTTTTCAAGATACCATAGACATTGGAATATACGGCTGGTTGGAAATTTACCTGTACTTTTCAGAATATCTGTAAAGTCAAAAATTACTGTCTTCCATGTTTCTCAAGTTTAAAATTATTAGAGTAATTTCTCCATTCTATTAATAATTAATACAATTTAAGAAAATGTCTTTGGGAAATAAACAATTACATCAGGCAAGAGAATATCCTACTTCATAAAATAAGCATGAATCTCATTACCGGTACCCACCTCTGGTTACGATAAAATACTATTGTTTGAAAGTTCCGGTAATCATTCAAAGAACAGAGAAGATTAATGGGCACTGAAATGTCTACTTCCGTCCTGACATTGTATTCTTATATGGACTAATAACTTCATCGCAGGAGTTTTTGTTAGTCGTGGAAGTCTCCCATTGGCCCGCAGTCAGAAGGCAAATCAAAAACTAGGAAAAGCGTGGAAGCCTCACTTTCCTTCAGCCTAAAACTCCATAATTCAAAAGGATACACAACTTCAGCTGGTTCACTGTTGTGTCGCTGCCTTGCCCCTTCCTCTCGCTGAGGCAAAGTCGGCCCAGGTGCGTCAGACACACGAGTAGAAAGAGAAAAATTGGATCCGGGAAGTGCATTGCTTCCTCCTGTCACGACGACGGCAAGGGGTTTGTTTACACCTTGACAGTTATGCCAGACCGGCGGAAAACCCTGTGTGTGTGTGTGTGTGTGTGTGTGTGTGTGTGTGTGTGTGTGTGTGTGTGTGTGTGTGTGTGTGTGTGTGTGTGTGTGTGTGTGTGTGTGTGTGTGTGTGTGTGTGTGTGTGTGTGGTGTGTGGTGTGTGTGTGTGTGTGTGTGTGTGTGTGTGTGTTGTGTGGTGTGTGTGTGTGTGTGTGTGTGTGTGTGTGTGTGTGTGTGTGTGTGTGTGTGTGTGTGTGTGTGTGTGTGCGTGTGTGTGTGTGTGTGTGTCGCGTGTGTGCGTGTGCGTGTGTGTGTGTGTGTGTGTGTGTGTGTGTGTGTGTGTGTGTGTGTGTGTAAGGGTGTCAATTAGGAAGCAGCCCCCCCCCCCAAGACGGTATTTCCTCCCTCAAAGTCAGTCTGGCTCACACCCCCTGAAAGGCTACAAATTTTGAACATTTTACCCATATATTGCTTAAAAATGCCACTAGAAAAGCTCATTTTTATTTTTTCGCTTTGCTTGCCTACACTCCCTCCAACAAAAACTGAAATGAATCCCCTGACTGTATTTATGTATTTTAATCCACATATATACATATGTATTTGTTTAGTTAATTAATTGTGATGTTTTGTTTTAGGGAGTATATCTATTGAGGTGAAAGCCTGCATTCAGAAGTTATGTGTGCCGTCACATAATCGTTATAATCACATAAATACCCATAGATTTATGATGAATTATAAAAGAAGTGTTGTTTCATACGAGTCGAATAGGTTTTCATTCCCGGCTTCGGTTTGGCAACACTGATGCCCACAGCTGATAAGAGCATCGTCTGCTTCCCGTGGCGCCAGATCTTGAAATGTTGCCATAAATAAGATGAACATTTGTGCCACGTACGATTGCGGCCCTTAAAGAAGATTTATATTGTGAAGATATATATTTAAGCATAAAAGGATGTCAATACTCTAATTAAACAAAGTTCATAACAATATCCCATTTGCCCTTGGAGTAGGACTACCATCATAGACGATCAAAGGACTAAATGTAAACAAGGATCGGAATAGACAATAGCGCCTTTAAATCCTACAGAAGAAGGATCGGATAATTATCCGAGTCAAATGCGATGCTCTTTTTACTGCAGTTGCATTATTTTTTTCTGTCTGGCTGACCTCATACCAGCTGGCTAGGAGTGAGGGTCGAGGAAAAGGGAATAGGCGATGTACTGTGATTGAGTCTGGCCTGAAAAAAAACATTTAAAATGAGGAGCAGAAGCAATTCCGGTGTGAGGCTCGACTACTACCATAGGATCGTCTACCGCACTATCCTGAGGCACCAGGTAACACGCCTGTCATTGAGAACCTAAGAACTAGATGTGATATTTCTTTGCAGAGGTTTGTGCGGATTGCATGACGACTATGATGCAATTTTGTTTTGTGCTTGTTTGCAAAGAAGGGTCACACTCCAGAGGTCAAAGTGCTGTTATTGTTATGTGCGGGCAGAAGGCGGTGTAGGAAAGCACTTGTTATAGGTATTACCCACGAACTGTGGAAATATATTCCTATATTTTTCGGATTGTTTGAATTTTTGTCGAGGAACTTGAATTCTTTACAGAGCTTGATAATGTTGGAAGATTTTTATACAAGACGATAATTTTAAGAGGAATAATACTTTTTACAGTAGAATCATGGAGAAATAGAGCTGAAAATAGGTAATGGTCACAAAGAATATTTAATTTGGTTTGATTACACATCAAGTAATTTTCAACTATTTGTGTTAAGTTGCAATTGTTGCCAAAGCTCTACCATCCAGTTTTCAGTAAGACAGAACTTGCAGGTCTCCATGACATTGCAAGGTCAAATGAGGAGCCAGTGTAGGCCCAACTGTATATTGCTAGAATATGTATAGTGGAGTTGTTAGCCTTTGTTAGCATATGAGAGACTTTATCTTAGCAATACCGTCACTCTGTAAATAGATGTTGAACTATCGGCAACTCAATCCTTTTAGAAAATGTAGGTTGAAAGAAACAAGTAGGCTGAAAAAAACTATGAAGTTTTCATATTAAAGTTTTCAAAAATTTAAGCTGTACAGATTTTGGTTACAGATTTTGGTAAAGAAAATCTGAATACCCAAATTTCCCATGTCAAAACTAATGTTGGCACTACAGAGATCTACATCATTAATATTAGTGCTATATTGCTATGATTTTAGTAATTCTTTATAGTACAGATGTACGTGCCAATCCCCAACTCCGCATCACAAAATTTATTCAGCAGTCTAAATTGCCGTGACTTGGCAGTGCTCGCAGGGAGGGTTGATAGGGGGCTCTGCCCCCTAATGCCCCCTGGCAAGCATTGTTTTGACCTTGGTATGTATGGCAAGATTGAATTGAAACTCGGGTGCTCTGAGTGGATTTTGGCTGAGAACGTACTTTGGCTGAGAGCGGAGCTTTCTGTGATCTTTTACCTTTATTTATGGCATTACCATTCATGTCTGCAGATTATTTCTTGTTCTGATGAGTGCAATTGTTTGTCCTCTACAAGAATATCACATTCATTTTGCCCTAACTTAGTGAGTATATAATGTAAAGATTATTCATAATTTTTTTATCAGTGTCATCAGTGAGCTCTTTGGAAGATTTCCTAACTGGTAGTGAAAATGAGTGGTAAATAAGATACTTGACAGATGGAAAATGTTAATTTTCTGTCATGGAGGTGTAGTCCAAAATGCCGTAGGAACTACAATTAAAATACAATTGAAACTCCTTCGCTGAACTGAGTCCTCGTTGTTTGAAGAAACTGCCCCCAACCATCAAGTGCCTTTTTGCTCACTTACCCTAACCCCTTGACCATACACATAATGTCATTGTCTTTTTTTTATCTTTTTTATTTTTGTTGTTTTTTTAGTTTGCAAGTAAACCCTATAAGGAATAGAATTTCCTTTGTACATTAACTGTAACATATATGAGTCATGGTTCATGGATAGTTCATTCCATCTTTGTTTACAGGTGGAAATGATTTAAGAGACCCTTCCCAAATGCCCACTGCAAGATCTTTGTGCGCTCATGATGAGTCATTTGGCCCTCAGCCAAATTTTTTCCGGATGTGATAGTCATGTCACCTGGATCCAATTGTTTAATACATCTTTACTCTCCATTGTAAAGTGAATTTTTATTTTCACATGATATCAGAATGATTTCATACTCACACTTGGTTAATGCTCCAGGATGCAGTTACGGGCCTGCTTCCTGCAAGTAATCTCAACGACCATGCTTGGGTGCGAGACAACCTTTACTCCATCATGGCAGTGTGGGGACTCTCCATGGCTTATAAGAAGAATGCAGACTTGGATGAAGACAGAGCCAAGACGTATGAGCTGGAGCAGGTAAGACATTGCTTTGTAGAGGTTATTTTCATGGTTCTTTACGAGGCCCACTTTCTGTTAGGGATGTTCTTTCTCGCTTCTTTTCTATTCTGCAATGTTTTTCTAATACATATTTTTCTTATGTTCATATTTCTAATATATTTTTCTGTTTTCATTCTATGTCAAGTATGTATACATATTTTTTGCCCTCGTTCATATTTCCTGTTTTCTGACTTTCATTCTCTTTCCTTTCCTTTACAGTATTGTTCTCTTCATTTGGTACACCATTTCTCAATGATTTTTAGATGTATTGATTGTGAAGTTTAATAGAATCATACTCTGTTTGCAGTTGATATGAAGTTTTACCTTTCTTTCCTCAGAGTTGTGTGAAGTTGATGCGCGGGCTCCTGAACTGCATGATGCAGCAGTTGGACAAGGTGGAGAAATTCAAACACACACAGGCGCCCATTGACTCCCTGCATGCAAAGTATTCCTCCAAGACGGGTCAGATTGTGGTCAAGGACAACGAGTGGGGTCACTTGCAGATTGATGCCACGTCACTCTTCCTCCTGGTCCTGGCGCAGATGACGGCATCAGGTATGGCTGTGGAGTGCGAACTGGGAATCTTGATTTTATATTTGGTGATTTAAAGTTGAGGAACTGGAATAGATGAAATTTTGATGTGGGAAACTATGTGGTCATTATCACTTATTTATTTTAGCAGATTTTCGATAAATAGATCTAATTGATAAACTAAGATGTACCGTTTCATTTTCAGTTTTCCGTTTTACCATTTGCACTTTTTTTTTAGACTGATAGTTGCTCACCAAAATTCTTGTAATATATTGCAAGCTTGAAAAATAAAAATTTTGTCACAAAATGTCCCCAATGAAAATGTAGCATCCAGAATCCTACTGAAAATATTGAAAATTATATTATTTTAATTGTTTATATTACAGTGCCAATTCTGTAGTAGTTGTATTTTTATTTTTAGGAATTCTGAGTATATCATTTATTATTGTAAAGTATCTTCACATGAAATCTAAGTGGACTACAATTGTGACTATATAGTATGACCACTATGTGTATTACAGTATCAGTATGTACAAGATATTCAAATTTGAAGAGATGTGGTTCCATCTGTACTCACTTTGTTCTATTTTCATATCATTTCTTAATTATTAACAAGAATGTAGTTTTAACAGGTCAATGAGTCATTGAAAATGCTATTTGAAGCAAGTATTGATCACTACTTCATGGCTGTAATGATTTGTGTTTGTTTGCTGAATATTTCCATAGAAAACTTGAATAAACTGATACTAATTGCAGATTCATCAAAGTAGACCAAATGCTATACTATCAAACTGCTTGTAATTTTTGACAGTTCAAGATGTATTCAGAATAGAACAGAAAAAGGACTATGTTTTACACATTGCATATTGTATAAGAAAAAGAGTATTGATTTTATGATTTGCTTCTGTAAATTGTTATTTTACAAACTTTTTGCAGGTTTACAGATTGTGTTCAACCTGGATGAAGTTAGCTTTATCCAAAACCTGGTCTTCTACATAGAGTCTGCATATTGCATTCCTGTAAGTATTTTGTGCAGATTTGATTTAATTCAATTTCATTCATTGTCATGTAGATGATTGATAGTTTTGGTAGTTGTTGCATGTAAAGTATAAAATAATGTAAAGAATTGTTATATATATTCTTTTTGAACCAGACACACTTTTACTTAAGCCACACATTTATTACTTATTTATGCATCGACTGCAACGACATAGATTAAAACAGTTACACCTTAGACATATATAATCCTTGTGACAGGATTATGGAATCTGGGAGAGAGGAGACAAGACCAATCATGGCCTGCCAGAACTCAATGCTTCGAGCATTGGTCTTGCAAAGGCAGCTTTAGAGGCTATGAATGAATTGGATCTATTTGGCGCGAGAGGTGGCCCAGCTAGTGTCATCCACGTGCTTGCTGATGAGGCCCAGAAGTGCCAGGCTGTCTTGCAGGTCAGCCAAGTGTTGTTGTTAGTTTATTTGAGGTTGTAAGTTGCATACTGTCTTCAGGGAAAGGGGAGATGAGTAGAGGTGGTTAGAATGGAGGAGGCTTTTGGAGATATATTGACATATATAAAAAAACAGGGAAAATTATATCAAAGTCAGACCTCAGGCTGGGAATTTATTTTCCTTTAGCCAGGTCTTTGTGAAAATATATCTTTATGTAAAGTGATAAATGTTGCTAAAGGGGTAGAGGAAGTGCATGTATAACATTCTAAAATAAGTAGAAATGTGGTTTGATTTATCAAGTTACCATATGATTGGCCTAAACAGAAAAAATGAAGTGATGCTACACTTATTACATATTCATTGTTTCTGAAAAGAAGAGTGTTTTTCTCAGTCTATGCTGCCACGTGAGAGTAACAGCAAGGAGGTTGACAGCAGCCTCCTGGCAGTCATCAGCTTCCCTTCCTTTGCTGTGGATGACCCAATGCTCATCAAGCTAACGAGGGACACCATTCAGGATAAGCTGCAGGGACGTTATGGGTGTAAGAGGTTCCTCAGGGATGGCTACAAGACAGCCAAGGAGGTAAATATTGATATGAAAGACTTTTCCTCTTCAAACCCCTCTTGGTCATTATGATTTGATATTGATGTTAATATAAATATTTCAGTGTAACATTAACTTTTGTGTTAGAGTCTGTTGTCTCATACCTTTAGAAACATCATTGATTGTAAATATTCAACAGGATCCCAGCAGACTGTATTATGAACCTTGGGAGCTGAAAAGGTTTGAGAAGATAGAATGTGAGTGGCCTCTCTTCTACTGCTATCTCATTCTAGACTATTGCTTCCAAAATGACAAAGAGGCTGTTAAGGAGTATGCAGAACAGCTGGAGGAGGTGAGTGTGTGAAAGACTCCATGTTAATGTTTTTGAACTTTTTATTTTTACTTAATGATTATGGACTGGAAGCTGGCTATTAAGTAGAAATTATTTATTTTTTGTTTGGTATATACCTTTGTTCATCCTTTTTTCATCTATTTTTTTTTCTTAAATCATGCCAAAGTCTTGCTCCTCCTCAGCTGTTAGTGACAACTGATGACGGCCTAAGACTTGTACCCGAGATCTACACAGTTCCAGCAGAGAATGTGGAGCAGGAGTACAAGGAACCAGGCTCTCAGGACCGCGTGGCTGTTGGCAAGCTGCCCTTCATGTGGGCTCAGAGTCTCTTCATTATGGGGCGACTCTTGCAAGATGTAAGTAGTAGCTTCTTGTGCTAGGAGTTGAATGTTAGATTTGGAGATATGAGGAAAAATCTATGTTTGTATTACCTCTGGTTGCAATATTATATATATATTATATATATATATATTATATATATATATATATATATATATATATATATATATATATATATATATATATATATATATATATATATATATATTTATATATATATTTTTTAATTATGATCATGGTCATCACTGTCATCAATATCATCATTGGCATCTTTATCATCATTATCATCATTATCATCGATGTCATCATTGTTATTATTTTTCATTATTATTAATGAATCCATTCCTGCTGGCAGAATTTCTTGGCCTGCGGTGAGCTCGATCCCCTCAACCGTCGTCTGGGCTCGGAGAAGAAGCCAGATGTGGTGGTACAAGTGGTGGTTCTGGCAGAAGACTCGAGCATCCAGGCCAAACTGCAGGCGCTGGACATCCCTGTGCAGACAATTGCTGAAGTGGCACCCATTGAAGTGCAACCAGCAAGAGTTTTGTCAAAGCTCTATGCTCATCTAGGTATAGGATATAGTTCACCATTTAGTTTGTGAAACAGGACTTCATTAGTCTTTTTTATTATTATCTTGATTGTTTGGGGGTATTAGTTGTTTTATTTTGTTTTATTTAATCTGTAAATAGTGAAGTAAATATGGATTACCTGAGCTGCTGAGCATAAAGGTATATGAATGCTGATGACATTACAGGTCGTAACCAGAAGCTAGGTCTGTCTGGTCGTCAAAGCCGTGACGTTGGTATTCTTTCGACAAGCAAATTGTATTCTCTTCAAGATAGAATATTTGCATTTACTCCTCAGGTTAGTGAACATGAAGAATCTGTCATATTTGTTTTTCTTGTTCTTAAAGCCTTGAGAATTAAGATTGCGGTCTTATTTATAATTCTTTGATAAGAAGGTAAAGCAATATAACTAGTTACTCTCAGGTTGTTAAAGGCTTGCAAATAAATGCAGTAGTCTGTATATGTCTGATTAATATTTCTCACGAGATAAACAAAAAATAATCAATTGTTAATATTATCTGTTTTACAGGTTCTGATTTTAAGGGAATATAATCAGAATGTAAACTGATAATTACCTCCAATCTCTAGTATCACTGATTCTTTGTTGCAGCAGATATTGCAGTTGAAACTTCAGTATTTTCGTCTTGCATTCCTTAACCTTCACAGCATTCTACCTGGACTTTCTAACCTGCTGATCTTTTCAGTTCGTAGATCGACAGCGATTCTTCATTGCCTCTGATCTGGACCTTCTTTTAGACATTTTCAAAACTGAACTCAACTTCTTGCAATATACTTGGAAGCACATGTTGGGGCGTCCTATTGTCACGTTGGAGATCAATCAAAGCTTCTTAGGTAAACGGTTCAGGTTCATCAAAGACACCCTGTACCACCCCCAGCTTGCATAGAGAGAGAGAGTGGCTGGTCCCTGTCAGTCCCTTTTAAACACCTGCTGGAAAGTCCCAGTTAACATATCCCCCTGAGTGGAAGAGTTTAACTCCATTAACTGCATCCAAATGTAGAAAAGGTATGAATGTAAATGAAGATCATCATAATACAAGAGGTGTAGTTGACTGGTTTCAAATATATCTTTGTCAGAAATACATGTATTTCTTACAAAGAAATATTTGAAACCGGTCAAATACATTTCTTGTATTGGGAAAATATTCATTCTTATTCATACATTTTCTACATTTGTCAATCTGAAAATGGTTCATAGCTGCATCCAGTTGTAAATGTGCTAGTAGTTGACTTAGTCAGTTCATATGATGGTCTCCGAGCCAACTCTTGCTGTGCCCAAAGCAGGCTCTGTTTCGGTCATAGTGAAAGGCTTGGTTTTCAAAGAGGGAAACACAGAGGAGACTATCATTTTAATGTTGTTGTCCTTGTTTGTAGCTTAGAGGAAATATGCCATGATAGACCTTTCTTTTGTTAACTATGTCTGTTCCTTCAACAAAGTATTTTTTAGTGTGTAATCTTTTCAAGGTTTCACATATTATCATATTTGATTGATGGTTAAAAACATTTTTCAGTCTAAATAAAAGATATTCTCCCATTTTTATCATCTGAGTTTTGTCATGAATGTTGGATTGATAGTGTCTTAGGCTTGTATTATCATTTTAGTATAGAGTTTTTTTAGGTATTTTTTCAGTGGACAGCAGGATTTAAGTTTGCCAGGATCAGATTTTTTGTGTGTGCTGCTCCTACAACTGATAGAGTATGTCTGCTTTGGTGATCATTGCTTATATATTATTGTCTTAGAAATTTGACAGAGATTATAAATGTAGTATTTAGATTATTTGGATCACTAATTCTTGCTATATTTTGTTTTGTAGAGGAAAACAAACATAGATTTGAAACTGCTGGTATGCACCTAATTGGAAATGCTTCTTATTTTGTTGCATTAAAACAGTCTCTGAAAATAATTGTGAAGGCTGTGTTGGAGGAAAAATATTGTAGAACATCCTAACTATACGAAAGATGCTGTACTTTTGAAAATTTAGGGATGATATTTTCTCTTGGCATTTGTCCATACTAAAAGTCTTTTTTTGATAGTTATACTTTCATGGTATTTGCAGTTGTGATGCTTTATTAGGTGATAGGGAAGTGGCTGTTATATTTTCTTTTCTTGCAATCCTGATAGTAATATATTCTCTGTTGGAGTTATGAGTTACCATAACCATCATCATATAAGTGGATTTACTCTCAGACTTGATTTTTTTTTCACAAATATTCCTGAATGATATTTGATAGGTAATTGACACAGGAGCTGGAGTTGAGTCTTGCTGATAAACAGCTTAGGTGAAAGTTTATATTTGATATATGAATTTGAAATGGAAATTAGATATTATATTTTGCATTAGATATTATTTCTTGCATAAAATAACTTTTCAAGAAACAATGAATATCTTGAAGTTTGATTTTTTCATATCTGTTGTTTCTTTTGAATTGTCGGATTGCTTAGAGAGTTTAAAGGGAACAGAGACATTTGCTTCTTGATTTTGTTTGCCAGGTCTTGTAGATATACTGCAGGACCATGATTCTGTTGATTTTTTTTCTTTTGAAGCATATTGTGTGCTGTTGCATGGAAATGCTATAAACCTGGATGGACTTAAGACTTACATCAAGGTTTTAGATGTGTAGTCAATGTTTTGTATACTAGCTTTTTTATGTGTGGTCAGCATGACTATACTGGAGGGTGTAGAGCATTTCCCCAGTGTATTTCTAGGAACTCTGTTAAGGTAAGGGAAAAGTGAAGGGACTTTCGTTATTCAACAGGCTTGAGCATCATTGCATATTATCAGTGCTCACCATGTCCTACACACCATCCATAGCAAAGCAAATCAGTGGTTGATTCCATGTGATTTCAAATGACATATGACTTATGTTATCTGATGCATAAGTTTTTACATTTATATGTACCCCCACCTCCCAGTGTTTTGTCATAATGCACGTAATTGGAAAAGGCTTTCAGATCAAATACTCAGATTATTGTCTACAGACCCTTAAATATGAATTTTAAACATTGTTACTCTTCTGCCATCTTTTCTTTCACAAAGCTGTTATGATACATTTAAAGTGAATTTATACAATAAACAAAAAAACTAGGTATTGGAACACAGAAGGGATCAGGAAGATATGTTTCTGCTTTTGCTAAATATTATTTTGTAGAGTTATTATCTTTTGAAGAAAACAGTATTAGAGACTTACAGTTTTGTAGTTTATAGGCAATGTTTAATTATGATGAAATTTAGAAAAGGAATATATTGTCTTTATGTTGTAAGATAAAAAATATTTTGAAAGAGCTGATGTAGAGTTCATGTTTGAAGGTAGGGTGAATTAGGTAGAAATGTTAAAGGGAGGCATTCTTGCATAAGGTCTCTGGTATGAGAGAGAGAGAAGAGAATAGATGAGAAGAGAAGAGAAAGAGGAAGAGAGCAGGATACTGAGGGGGGCAGAATATTATATAGTAGAATGTGAAGTTATATCCACATGTTGTCCACCTATAGAGGTAGAGGAAGGATATAGAATGTACTATGTTTGTTTGTTTTTCTAATTGGGATGTCTTTCTTTGTTATGGATGTCTAGCTTGATTTTTCTACCGTAGGATGTGTTTGTTTGTGAGACGGAAAGTAATTGATAGAAGACTATAGTTTCAAATGTAGGTGTAGATAATAATCTGCTCATGAAAGTCAATAGCATTTCACACTCTTTGCTACAAGAATAATGAGAATAAGAAAGTGAACTAGTTTGTTTTATTATAGGTTTAGCAAAGATATTGAACAATGAACACAGCTTAGACAACTGTGCCAACATATTATTTAAGAATCTTTTTCATGTTGTCATATCAGATTCATTTTGTGTTTGTGACTAGTATGCGATGAATTAAGCCCTGCAGAGAAATTTTGGATTTTTTTCTTTTTCATCATCATTACTCGATGCCAAGTGGAAAAGAGTTGAAAAAATGCCTGTGAAGTTTATCTTATTTTTTCTTCCTGTTTAAGCCATGGATGCTGGTGGTGCATGGATATTACCCGTGTCCACTGCGATTTTGATGAGTTGTTTTCGCTTACACTTTGACAGCTCCAGAAGCACTCTTTCACGCTTTCCTCAGTATTGTGTCTGATGAATTATTAATCCTTTTTAGTTTTTCAGTGTTCTGTTTTTCATATATTATTTCTTTCTTTTTTTTTTTTTTCCTTTTTTTTTTTCTACAGTAGGAAGGTAAGGAGACATCATTTTTCTTTTTCCTTTTTTCTCTACTTTCTCAAAAAAGGAAAGGTTGCAGGAACTGAAAATGATTGTGCTTTCTGCTAACACCTTTTTCTAGTACTTCGATTATGATGAGAGTTACCTGTCCAATGACGTGGACCTGGGGATGTACTGCTATGCCGCTGCACTAGATTATTTGCGATCCACTTGGAAAGACATTGGCCGGCCAACAGTTTGTTGTACAATGAGGACTGGCTTCCTAGATGGTATGTTCCTCAAAGGCCACAAAAGAGAGAGAGAGAGAGGAGAGAGAGAGAGAGAGAGAGAGAGAGAGAGAGAGAGAGAGAGAGAGAGAGAGGAGAGGAGAGCGAGAGAGAGAGAGAGAGGGGGGAGGAAGAGGAGAGGGGGGGAGAGGAGAGGGGGGGGGAGAGGGAGAGGGGTGGGAGTAGAGGGAGAGGGGTGGGGAGTAAGAGGGAGAGGGGGGAGGAAGAGGGAGAGGGGAGGAAGAGGAGAGAGGGGGGAGGAAGGGGGAGAGGAGAGGGAGGAAGAGGAGAGAGGGTGAGAAGAAGAGGAGAGAGGAGAGAGGGAGAGGAAGAAGAGGGAGAGAGGGAGAGGGAGAAGAGGAAGAGGGAGAGAGAGAGAGGAAGAGGGAGAGAGAGAGAGGAAGAGGGAGAGAGAGAGAGGAAGAGGGAGAGAGAGAGAGGAAGAGGAGAGAGGGGAAGGAAGAGGAGAGAGAGAGAGAAGAGGGAGAGAGAGAGAGGAAGAGGGAGAGAGAGGAGGAAGAGAGAGAGAGAGAGAGAAGAGGGAGAGAGAGAGAGAGAGAGAGAGAGAAGAGAGAGCGGAGAGAGAGAGAGAGAGAGAAGAGAGAGAGGAGAGAGAGAGAGAGGAGAGAGGAAGAGAGAGAGGAGAGAGAGAGAGAGAGAGGGAGAGGGAGAAGAAGGAGAGAAGGAGAAGGAGGAGAGGGAAGGAGAGAGGAGAGAGGAGAAGGAGAGAAGGAGAGGAGAGAGGGAAAATGAGAGAGGGAAAAGGAGAGGGAAAAGGAGAGAGGAAGAGGAGAGAGGAGAAAAGGAGAGAGGGAAAAAGGAGAGAGGGAAAGGAGAGAGGGAAAGGAGGAGGGAAAAGGAGAAGAGGGGAAAAGGAGAGAGGGAAAGGAGAGAGGGAAAAGGAGAGAGGGAAAGGAGAGAGGGTGAAAGAGAGAGGGAGAAGGAGAGAGGGAGAGAGAGGAGAAGGAGAGAAGGAAGAAGGGAGAGGGAGAAGGGAGAGGGAGAAGGGAGAGAGGGAGAAGGAGAGAGAGAGGAGAGAAGGAGAAAGGAGAGAGGAAGAGGGAGAGGGAGAGGGAGAGGAGAGAGGAGTGGGAGGAGTGGGAGTGGGAGTGGGAGTGGGAAGAGGGAGAGGGAGAGGGAAAGGGAAAGGGAAAGGGAAAGGGGAAAGGAAGGGAGAGAGAGAGAGAGAGAGAAAGAGAAAGGAGAAGAGAAAGAGAAAGAGGAGAAGAGAGAGAGGAGAGGGAGAGGAGAGGGAGAAATAGAGAGAGAGGAGAGAGAGAAAGAGAGAGAGAGAGAGACATGCATATATATGCATAGACATACATATTATTATACATGTACATAAATATGTTTACACACACACACACACACACACACACACACACACACACACACACACACACACACACACACACACACACACACACACACACACACACACACACACACACACACACACACACACACACACACACACACACACACACACACACACACACACACACACACACACACACACACACACACACACACACACACACACACACACACACACACACACACACACACACATATATACATATACATCTATCTATATATGTATGTATGTATGTATGTTGTATATAATCAGGTCAGCAGTTTCACTATACGAGAGGCTTTTTAAACATCTTGTTTAAAAAGAAACAAAGGGCCTATAACAATTTCTATCCAGTATTTATAAGTTTTGTGAAATCATAATTGTAGGGAGAAAAAAAGGTAATTAAGCAAATGTTACATTCTGTTAAAGTTTTTATATATAATGGAAATGTGAACAATATGAATATCTTGTTAATTTTTTTGTGTAAAGCAGCTTTTGGGTAAATCTGTATGCAAACCTCTAAAGAACTGAGAATATTTGTTTTTTGTCAGTTGATAAAATCTGTATTGACATCCTATGACATCCTAGAGAAAATTTCACTGATTCTTGGCGATGTCTAATAATTTCATAAGGCCAATCCCAGTATCTGGGATGATGCCTCAGGAGCCCAGTTGTGTGCCAGATGATAGCCCAGGCTAAGCGCAGCATGTGATTTAGTCATTTGCCATTTAGCGGCTGCCAGAAAAGAGCTGTGGGCCTCTTAGGATCGCATGGGGAACCTAGGGCAATTGATGATTTCAGTCTGCATATTTTTCTGCTTATTTGTTATTTATCAAATAGATATGATTGCTTTCAGGTCCTTTCTCTTTCGGCTCCAATTATATTGTTTGAAATGCTTGTTTTGGTTCATGGGAGCTGTTGGTGTCATTTACAGTTTGCTTTGCTTTGAAGTGGATGATTAGCTGTGTTTTGATGACAATTATGTTGTGTTATTTGAGTTTGGAATCTTGATTTGAAACATTTAGAGTGTGTTGAGAAGTGTTGGATGTATTGGTGTATTGACAGTTTTTCAAGAATTGAGCGGCAGAAGTCTTATTTGAATTGATATCATGTATTATGACTGGAAGCGACAGAAATGACCATGCGTTTACCTACTGGTCTATATATAAGTACTCATTCTAACTTCTTTTTTATATTGATGCAGCTTAATAGGAGCCATGGCTTTTATTAAACTCTTTATATATAATTTTGTGTTTCATGTGAATAACTAAAACTATTTTTGAATGGCAGGAAATAATCTGTTTGGTTGAAACCTGATTGAATGTTTGCCAGAAGAGTGTTTTAGATTTCAAGGCAAATGGTCTCATGTTGAACTCTCATTTGATTTCCAGATGAATTCCACTTTATCCTTTTAGAAATCTCTTACATTATTGCTTCTTACCAAATAATTAGATTTAATTTTCCTTTTTTATCTAAATTTTTGCTTTACTGCTATCTATGCATGCCTTTTTTTTTATTTGTTTGGTGTATATTAATAGAAAAGGAATGGACCAGTCTAATCACACCTCTCCAGGCAATGTGATATTACTCGTAGAATAAATGTGAGACCATTTGTTGTTGTAGAGTGTGGACACAGAGGAGTGGTACGCCATGCATGATATAAACCTGCTGTGCTATTACCTGAAGTCACATGTTGCCTTCCTGAAAGAGACTTGGTTCAGCTCCATGCTTGGCAGACCTACCATTACCTACCTTGTCCAGTCTTTCATGCTAGGTAAGCTGCTCCTTCTGCTTATACATGAGCTTGAATAGGGAGAGAAAGGTAATGTAAATTGTATTGTATTGCTGTACAGTTGTGTTTTATAGCATTTATTATCATTGCTGATAGCTTGTATCAGAATGGGAAAGAAATAAAGGGAGACTTTTAGATTTGTATTTAGAGGCTTCTCTTGCTTCAAAATATTTAAAAACTTGTTAATGTCTTTATCACAGTGTTTATAATTGTAAAAAAAAAAATATATGTTTTAGAATAAGGTTTAAACAACCTAATGTATGCCAAGTTGTTGGGAAATTTATTATTATTAAAGCTAATTGATAATATGACTAATTATCATAAATTGACAAAGGGCCAGTCTGAATGTTTAAATAATTATCATTGTTATGATTTTGCTTGATTTGGTATTCAGTAACTGCTTGTATTTTATGTTTAATGTATACTCTTAAAGGATGAAGCACAGCAATTGTTTTTCTCAAGTGTGTGTACACGTGGGATGAACTGTAATCTGAAAAATAAGTGGCCATGTTATAGATGTCCAAATTAAGACAAATTAAGCTGAAATCATCATGCATTAAAGTAGAGCAAGAAACGTGTATTTCCTTCCCTGTGTATACATAAATACCTGAATTTTATCTTCCTTTAGGAGTTTAGTGTTAAATGTTGATGCTGCTTCTTGCCTTGATATGTCAACTGAGTGGAAGAGACTGTAGATGTCCTTACATTTCTAAACTTATTTTCATTTACTGACAAAGATTATGAGGTTGATGTGAGTTTGATCTATTATTTTATGATTAATTCTGTACTTTGTTCGATGTGTTGCATGTGAGACATGCTAGAAGTTGAAGAGAGATATATTGTTTTTTATAGTTGGTTTAATAATCAATTGATTTCAACATTAGGATGAAAATGGCAATACATGTATAGATATATATATATATATATAATATATTATATATATATTATATAATATAAATATATATATTAATATAGATAATATAGTAGTATATATATGATATGATAGTATAATTGAATGTTATATATTGATTATGTAATACATGTAAACAACTTTCTACCCTTATTACGACCCCCACTGCACATGCGTGCTCGTCTGCGGTTATTTCCTTAGGTATGTAGTATCATGATGCTCAACTCAAAGGACATCCATCGATGTCAGTCACATGAAAAACCGGTCAAAGATAATCTGAATAATGCACATATCAACCTGACCGCATCTATACATACTGTTCGATTATGTAACGACAATGACCACATTCTATGCATAGTAATGCCGGCATGTGTAAGCGCCATCTATTAACAGCACAACACGACGTCTGAACAGCACTCCTACAATACCTGATACTCCCGTCAACCCTATTATATACACCATATATATATTCTCCACAAACCTTCAATACTCACCCATAATATTCATCACTCGCCCCGCGTATCAGTCTAACAACCTTAATGCAGATATGTGTCTTCCCCATATTCTGAACTACGTTAGGAATGTTGACCTATACCTTAAATCTTAATATTATATATGTAATGTATAAGCATATGATTAATGTGTAAGCCAGAAAAGAAAAAATGTCATATGTGAAGAAGGTAAATTTGCTCTATGTTGACTGGTAAAAAGTCTTCGTAATTTAGAAATTCTTCTCGACGATTGCCACATTGCAGTAGTACCAATGTGACCACTACATTAACTGATGCTCCATTGACTCTGATGGCAAGAGATCCCAAACAGCATTCGGATCCGTACGCCACCCTATAAAAGATTTAAGATGACGCGCAATCACTCAAAGCGCGCGCAGACGCGCATGCGCTAATGGTGACGTATTAATTCGAGTATATTAATTATATATTGTATTTTTGCTATTATTTCATTCATTAATTATTATATATTTATTATATCTATGTTTTTATTAATTATTTTTATTTTGTGATGAGAGACGGCTGATCAAGTACATAGATAGTTCGTCACACATAAACCTTAAACTCCAGACTATATCACGTCCACTGAGTCATTGTTCTGCCCACAACAGACAATCCTAAAGACACGTTTTTTCCCGTTCGCCGATACGGCGTATGGTATCACAGACATTGTTTATGGCAAAATTCTCACCCCTTAAACTCAAGAGCGGGAAGTAGACAATCGAGGCTAATTATCGATTCATAGCCATTCGCACAGCCTTACTTTAGATAATTCACACCTATATCAATGTACGTCAAGTCATTCACTGGGTTCGTCGAATATGAGGTCGTTTTCCAAACTAGCATGTTTCGAGATCAGCCGAGAAGTCCAAGTGAAGTCGCTTCTTTGTATAATACACTGTTCTCTGCGGCGCTTTTTTATGCACATGTGTGTTTCCGAGTGCAGTCGAACCGGTTCAGGTCTTTCCTTCATGTAAACCGCCGCCAATCTTTCATGGCAGTCAGGAGAACACGCCTTGCCGCCTCAATCCGAGCTATCATACCCTCCCCCTTCATCTAGACCGTTAATTTTCCAGTTACTTCGTGAGTATTGAAATAGGAGCAATAGATATATCCCAAAATAATATGGTGAAGTAGAAACGCTTCATGTCCGTCACATCTCAAATCATTCCGTTTCTGTCATGAGCTTTCTATTCTTTCTTTCGTTTCCCCCCACTATTTGCTTCAAGCAAAAAGTTTCTATTTTTTTCCCCCCCCTTTTCTTTGTAATTTAGAGTGGCGCTTGGCAAGATGCAGGAGTTCCTCAACACGTCTTGCATCACAAGCCTCAATTTTCTCCATGATAATGAGAATGGCTACCCTGACAGTGAGTCGTCTGTGTTGGCCTTTTTATCATTATTATGTAAAGAAAGCATATATACACAAATACTAAGAAAGTTACCAGGATTTGAATTAGTCTATTGGATATAGTGTGTCACAAATGAGTGGGAGAGACACTTTCAAAATCCTTTTTATTGAAATAGGTATATAATAAATGATGTTAAGGATTGGAATGATTATTTAGTTCTTGAAATGGAAATGAAAGATACTTTATTTTTTATTGTTTTTGTACATAAAGAGCATTGCCATAGACTGTAAGCATTATAAATTTTGTGAGTTGCATCTTTAACATAAGTTTCCTTGCAGGTCTGAAACCAGAAGTAAAAGATTACTTGGAGAAGCAGATGCGAGGTTCCCTGTCGTGGAGGAGGGCTGATCTCGTCCGCATGTCTTCAAGGTAATGATTAAATTCTCCTCCTGCGCGGCTTGATCTAGGCCATTGTACAAGAGAATATTACAGTTCTGCTATGGCCACCCTGTGTCTGTGAAAGAGATTTAAATTGTCTTTCTTTGGCTCTTCTCTCTTTTTTCCTTTCCTTTCCTTATCTCTCTTTCTCCCTCTCTCTTTCTCTCCCTTCCTCCAATCCTCCCTCGTCTCTCTCTGCCTCCTTCTCTCCCTTTCTCCAACCATCTCCCTCCTTCCCTCTCACACTGCCTTAATCCCTGTGGTCTTCTCTCCCTTTTTCCATCCAATCCTTTTATTCCACTTTTAGTCCATCTTCAGATACTAAGAAATTCCTTCATTTTTCCTTTAAAGGTTTGGTGAGAAGAAGTCGATCAGAGACCCTACTGCCCGGCGCAAGTTCTCCGTCAAAGGAACCATCCGTAAATCTCGCACTCTGCTCGTTGATGATGAGAAAGGTATGACATGTTGAAGAGGAGGCAACTGCTTCCGAGCCACATTAGATACAGTCTGCATCTCCTTTTTCCTCTCGCTACTCTCATCACTGTGTCTTTCACCCTTGTTCTCACTCATCCTATTTTCATTTTTATGCACACTATGTTGTAGATTACATGTAGTGACTTGTCAACTACGAGATCTTCTCATGGCTAATATTTTGACAGCTCTTTTCCTTCGCTCCCAACCCCACCCACAGATCACACCACCGCAACACGTCATCACCACACACTTCCATCAATTCTAGGCAACTTCTCATAAATTATGCATATTTCTGGATCCGCTTTATTCTTCGATCAAGATTTACTCTGTCGTTATTGATGCACCTCAGGCAGTCCGTCAATACAACGATACTCACGCCAACCATCACTAATTTGCTTAATGTCGATTCATTCAGCCCTCTTGTGTGCATATATGCAATCACCAAAAGTTACAGCTCTATACCAAACATAAATCTCGAAATCATAATTTTCTACTCCTCAACTGTGTAATACATCTTACCTCTAAGCGGTTGCAACAATGCCTACCTAGTCTAAAATAACATAATTTAATCGTTTATAATTTTTATACACCTTCGATGTGCCATGGCGTAATGGACATTAGTTCAGGCCCAGTGATTTTCCTTTAATCTGAATTGGATATGCGTTTCAATTTGCTTTCAGGTTTTGGTAAGTCCAGACTCCCTTCGGATGGGGTCTAGTCCCACACTCCTTTTAGCTGGCTTTGTTTTGTAGGATTTGAGCATCAGTTGCAAACAAAATCAGTGAAGGACAGAAATGAGATTAGATAAGTTAAGACTGATGATTGTTATTTTTGATAGAATGGTTGACTTTACATGCATGATAGCAAGTCTGTTTTCTGAGCAAGGCTGGAGCCATTGCAGGGAAAAAACATTGCAAGGGACCATTAGAGAAGAGTGGTTCTTCAGTCTACAAGGATGCTTCTGGTTTTCAGAATTAGAAATACATATACTTCTAATATTCTAAAGCCTAATCATTGGTATCAGGTATAAGATGCTTAATATCTAACTCATTGTGTTTAAATAAGAAAGGGATATATCTGATAAATGACTGAGAATCAGATAGTGAGAAAATAAATAGTAAAAGAATAATATAACCATTGGCCAATGAGGTTGCTAGAATCTAATTTCAAGTGGAATCCCAACTAATCAAGCCTTTTATATATGATGAAAGAGAGTCTTCTGTGGCATAGTGTAAGTATTGACTTGCACCTTATTGGGTGGGAATCTCCAGAGATATGCTACTATTCTCTAAATTCCACATAATGGAGAATGGCAGCCCAGGATAAAGTGGAAACAGATCCAGAAAATATAGAAAGTCAAAACTGTATTCCTTTTTACTAAGTCTTTTAATCTTCTTTTTGCCATTTCTTTATATATATAATATATATATATATATATATATATATATATATATATATATATATATATAATATATGTATATAATATATATATAATATATATATAGATATATATATATTATATTTTTTTTCTTTTTTTCTTTGTCTTCTTTTCTTTAAGATCAGTTTGATAGAGTTTTAGGTGATGTGAATTGATACCCAAAAGTAAAACAAAGACTACCCAGCATATCAGTGATCCAAGTCAACCCAAAAGCCTACCAATGACTTTTCTCCCTCTACAACCTTAGACCACAGGGAACTGATCCCTCTTTACCCTAGCTCTAGGATGTCCTTATTCTTGTCCAATCGGAAAGTCACTGTGAACAAGTTCACCCCTTCTCTCACTTCACCTTCAGACGAGTCTGAGTACATAATAACATGTTCAGCAATACAGCCACCAATTATACTGTAATCCTGTGGGTCTCCCCGAGTCCAGCACTGCTAAGCTGAACTCACCTCTTCTTCTCCAGGCAAGTTGCACTTACCAACGGGCGGACACAGAAACCGTTCTAGTCGGCAAAGAGCGTGTGAAGAAGAATGTTCTGCGCCCTGCTGCGCCCCTCTCTGCCAGCTCGTCTGGTTTTCCTGGCAACTGCTAAGTGTTCGCCCCGTCCATGGAACGCAGTGTCCTCCCACAGTTGGCCTTATATGTGGCTATTTCTCAGTGCAGCGTTTGTCATAATTGCGTCAACAACGTCATTAAATGCCATAGACGCAAATGTGTCTCACACCTGAGGCTGATAAGAGATTTACTCATGTACCTACACGGCACCTTTGGCTTTATACATTCCGCAAAACTCTGCCTCTCTCCTGCGTACTTTATAGGCTTTTTATGAAGCGGGTGGGGAATATGCATCAAATGACCAGACACTGAAGTTCAGATTATATCGCCAGAATTATTATGATTTAATGGTAAATATGAGCGTAAAAGAAGACGAAAGATTAGGAATTGCATTAAGTATCAAGAGACAGATTTATAGGAAAAATTATTATAAATTAAGTTTATCATTTTTAAAACAATGCCAGCTTTTACAACTGAACAGAGCACTTTTAGATAACGCTCGGATTGTTATAGAAGAAAACACATTTATTACATCCTCGTCTCCTAAGTTCTAATACTAGAGAAGTTCAACTTCACCCTGGTGATGCATAGGGGAAAGGGGCCAACCTAATCACCAATCACAAAGTCATATGTATAGTCATAATTATACAGTATAAGTATAATCCTTCATATTATAATCAGGACTATCAATAAATACCTACTGATTCTAAATATATATCATAATATACTAGGTACTTATCATACTATTATAATATTCTTCAATCGCTCCTATAGCACTGACGATAGTTCGTTATCTATAATGTACGATATGTAGACTATCACTTATCAACTAAGTACAGCACACACTCAATTACCGCAGTACCACTATACTTCATTCATACTTATAATCTATAATTATATAATACACTGTTATTCATGACTCACTATTATATAACACTATAGTCTCTAATTATATGTCAACTTCATAAACATATATAGGCTAATATTTCACTACTTCATGATTATATTGATTCATAGCATATTATATCCTGATTATTCATAATCATATATATATATCTATCGTATCCTTATTATAGTCATATACAAATGAGGGGTGTCTAATATCCAATATAATATATTACATATGACATAACCATTCAATACACATAGCAACTCCATAATTTACTCACTTAACCTGATATACCATCATATACACTATGCTATAACAGTATTTATACATAAGTGAACTATCTGATAACACCATGATATACAACATGAAAACATCATTATACATAGTATACAATAACCTAACTACTATCCTACATATAGCTAGTACAATTATAGATATCGATCATATATGATAATATCATAACACGCGATTACATACAATATTATAATAGTATATATTTTATGATATATGTGGTATTATATATATATTTAAATATATATATATATATATATATAATATATATATATATATATATATATATATATATATATATATATATATATATATATATATATATAATATATATAATATATATATATATATATATGTATATATGTATATATATATATATATATATATATATATATATATATTATATATATATATATATATATATTATATATATATATATATATATATATATATATATATATATATATATATATATATATATATATATATATATATATATATATATATATATATATATATATATATATATATATATATATATATATATATATATATATATATATATATATATATATATATATATATATATGTATATATATGTATATATATATATATATATATATATATATATATATATATATATATATATATGTATATATACATACATACATACACATATGCCTGCATTATCCACTATTGTTCTGTTTTATAAATTTTGTTCACATATAGTCAGTTACTTGGCCTAATTGATCTCATCTATTTATCCTGTTCTTGAATTTTTGGGAAAGAAAAGTTTCATTTGTTACTGATGATAACATAATGATAATGAGAATAATCAAAATGCTAATAACAATTATAACAGTCTTTGGGATAAAAAGATAATCACAAAATGTTGAGGGATGGAATAAGCAGGTGAATTCAGGTAGACCTTGTAACTGACGCCTTGCTCTGACTAGTGAAACCACCTTTGTGTAAGCAAAATTTGTAAAGCAAAACGGCTGTGGATGGTGTGTATAGCCATCATCAACGGGTTAAGGTTAGAGTTAACCCATTCACACCGTTATATTTTGAAGCCAAAAATAAAAGATTCCGGGCGGCTACAAAATCGGCAGGCGGAGCTTCCCTGGAGTCTGTCCACCTGCTGGCCGCGGCCCGCTGCTGTGTCGGAGCACGAGCCCCGATACAGCATCACACTGGTGGGACACCCGGCAATTTTAATTTTTTCGGGTGTCTCATATATGGGACACCCGTCATTAATGGGTTAAGATAAAATCTAAGGCAAATTGAAGACAAAAACAAATGACACCAGTAATTGGCAACAAAATTACACCACCATAGTCTTCCTACTTATTTTTTTTTCTTCAAAGTTTAACTTACTGATGAATATTGCTTAAGAAGCAGTGCACATGGAGTCAAAATTCAAAAAAAAAAAAAAAAAAAAGTATTATGATAAGGGATATGTATTTTGTTATACACTGCATTAGATTCTCATTATAATTATCTAATAAAAGGTTTGCATTTAAAACTCCAAAGTAGAAATTGTGTAATTACTAAGATAAATCATACAAAGTAGATGTAATTTTTGCACCTTGGAGTCTCACAGAAATTTTGATATTAGATTTTTGAGTTTTGGCCTTGTGCACTCACTCTGCATAATCAAATTAACAGTTATGTCAGTATTTCTTTGAAACAACATTTAATTTTGGAATTTCACATTTGGGATGAACTTCTTTCCTCTTTCACATTTCCAGTTGCTTCTCATGAGACACTGAAACTAGGAGCAGAACTATGCTGAAGCCTGCTAGTTTGAAACACAGCCTTATGTACTCATAAATACAGCCTCTTTAAGAATACATAGCCTTATGTATTCTTAAATATAGTCTCTTTTTTTAAAGTATACATAGCCTTATGTATTCTTAAATACAGTCTCTCTTTTTTTAAAGAATACATAGCCTTATGTATTCTTAAATACAGTGTCTTTTCTCTGAATGGTACACAAATTTGGTGGTTCTTTGCTAGATTTGTTAAAAGAAGGTGAAAGACAATTTCTCTTGCATATCATGTACTTCAGTAATATTCCATATTTGCAAGGGAAGAATTATAAAATGAGGTGAAGGTTTTATTTGATATAGGATTCAGTATGAGGTGTACCTATTTGTCATTAGTCTACCCTGGAGGTCAACATCGTAAGCAAATAAGAGAAGCAAGTATATATTGATGGAGGAAAGAAACAAACACAAGAATAAGAGAATTAAGTGTTAACAATGTTAGATTCATAATAGGGTTTGATAAATGGCTTTGCAGAATTCATTTGGCTTATTAATTTTTTTCACTACATTTTCTGTCATTGTTAATTTCAATAGTCTCTTGTGTCTGATTAACAACACTTGTTTCTGTTTAATAACACTATGGTTTTAGCAGTTTTTGGAGGATTTCTTTTGTTTGGCTACTCACTTAAAAGTAAGTTTACTTTGTTTGGGAGTGGCTTTTAAGGGAAAAATAATAATGGAGATAATACACAAAATCTGCGCATCAGTACTATCATGCTGTTACAGCTACTTAACCCGGGCTTCACCTATAGGCTTTCTTTTATTTGTTTTTCACTCTTTTATTTTCTAGTGGATTTGCGGTCTCTTTGCTTAATCCCCTTGGCAAGGATAATCTCCTCAGCATGGGCAGCACACTTGAAACTGAACTGTTGATCATGGATGCACTTTCATTTTCTCTCTCTCTCTTTTTTTCTTTGTCTGTCTGTCTTTCTCACTCGCTCCTGTTAGGGTGTGTATTATTAACTGGTGGATAGGACCAAAAACGATGTACAGGATGTACAAAAGGCCATAATGGAAGTATTATTATCCACAGACCAAGATTTTGTGTCTGGCAGTTTGACTACAAGTTTTCATCTTCTGTGTAGAAGACTTTTAGTCAAAAATTTACACCAGCAATTCAGGTTTTGTGGAATTGCTCTATTTCACCGTGACCTTGTTAACTTTTATGGACCCAGGTCATCTGTGAGATAGTTCCTGTTGTTCCAAGGTGCCTCCATTTTAAGAAGGGATGGGAAGAGGAAAAAGGAAATTGTTTGTGTGAAAAGGAGGAACATTTATTGTTATCCGTGCCGCAGAATTGCCCTGGGACGAAGATAGAAATGATGGAGGTCTTACTGGTTTTGATGTTGAATGCTCTGAAAGGGATGCAGAGCTGGATAACAAGAACATCGACTGATTTTAATAATGTAATTCGTTCTTACCTTCCAGCAAATGTTCCTTCCCGAAGAAGATCCGGACTAGATCATATTTTCTACTACGGTGAAGGTACAAACACTCTTCATGTCCAGTTCTTATGCCGGACTTGTCACTGTGGTTGTGTCATGTAGTAAAGCCATTTCTTTGTAGTTATGGGTAACCTTGTAATGATAAAATAATTCATGATAAATCTTATAGTGCCCCAAAGATTACTGCGGTATTAATCCAGCAGTTCATTGAATTGAAGAGTAGTATGGGTGATGACAGGGAATCCCAGTTATTCATTACTTTATTATTTGTCATTTCACTCTTTTGTCAGTGATGTTTAATGGATGCATCATTGATTGCATTTCACTTATAGGAAATATACAGCTGATGTTAAGCTCTTATAGCGACCATGGGGCTTGATGGTTCAATTAATTATTTGAAAATTCCTAAAGTAAAAGAAGCAAGGAGGAAATGGACTACCCTTTTCTCTGTTTATTATTATTTTTTAAATCAAATATGACAATCCTTTTCCATCCACCTCAGCCACTCCTGATTCTTTCACAAAAAAACCTGGTTGAAAATGAAATGAAATGGATGAGGTAAAGGGTGATGATCCTCTCCCATATACCTTACAAAGTCCCACCCGCCTTCCAGTCAGCTCTGCTACCCGCTGAAAGCCACACCTCTGAATATGAGTTTGCGAAGGATAATTGCCTCATGTTTGACAGTATCTGATGCTTGCATTTCTCTTATTAGATTTTCTTATTATTTTGATAATATGCGTATAGACTGTACGCTTGAGTGATCCAGTGGACACCACAGTCCTGGTCCACTTAGTACCCTTTTATAATGTATTCCTATTCCTATTAATGATGAATAATTGGAATTCCTTGTAATTAAAAGATGTGTCATCAAGAATAAGAGAAAGAAGAAAGAGAATATGAATTGAAGATTTAATTCTTAAGATACACATCCAGATGTTTACAAATCTCGGAATGAGTCACCAGAAAGCTCTTGAATAATGTAGAGGTACTTTGATATGTTTGAGCTAAAGATTGTGTTATATTTAAGCACATGATTAGCTAGTCACATGTACAGTATGCTTGAGCTTTTTTTTTAAAAACTTTCTACAGTTGTCTTTTTGAATGATTATATCTACAGACAATTTTTTGGTCTAAGTTTTTAAATGGGGCAGACAAAAAGATTTCTCATTGAATATTGGGTTTAGTATTTTAAAGATGTGTGGGTTAGTATTGTAAAAATGTAGTCTTGGAGATATTTTGTAAATGCCAACTCCCCCATCCCCTTCCCTTGAATTTGAATAAAGTGGGGTCATTATTCTGCTATTTCCCCTGTAGCTGTGCCATAACCTGCGAGCACACATATGAATGCAGCAAATGACAGACACAAAGTAATATGGATTGCTGGATTTGAATTCTAGTCAGGATTTAACTGGATTTAGCATTAAGCTTAACCAGATGCTGATGTGGGTAATATCAAAGTTTATTGGCTTTTCATTCTGTAATTGATTTAAAAGATAACCTTCAAAATATAGTTCTTTACTGATGTTAGAGAAATGGCTTTCAAAAAAACGTAACCAGATGACAGTGATGGTGAACCAGAACTGTATGTGAAAAATCAAACAGCCAGTATTGATTCATTGGTATAGGAATATATGGTCTCATAGTAGAATGTCTTGCAAGCCCTGTACTAACCCAAATTCATTTAAAGTTCATTTTCATTTTAGTTTTATAGCATTAATTTATATATTCTAAGGACTGCCTCATTCTCAGAAAGTCAGAAATGCTCCATTGTATAGCTTGTATTATGTCTTCACTCTCTAGTGATAAATTTCACACATATATGCTTAGCCCAGTAATGACAAATGGCACTTGTACATGCCATGGTGAGACTGGGTCAGCATTCATGGTGGCATCTATATATGCCATGATGTTGGAAACTGTTCTCTGTTTTCTGTGTTGTAAAGATGTGAGCAACAGACTTCCAAAGTCAATCTAAAATTTCAGTGCTTTTATTGAAAAGCAATAATCAGTTTATCCAAAGTGAAGGGTGACAGGGACAAAACACCCATTCTAATTTTTGTCTTATGATGGAGAGCTTGATGTTAATTTTAGTACAGTAGCAAGTGTGCTCCAGTTATTTCCTGGTGCTGTTGTATTGGCTATCAGATCGAAGAAGCTTTATGCAAAAGTTCACAATGATTCTCTTGCTCACTCTCTCCTTGAGGAGCCAATAAGATCCAAAGCTGGTCTGGCAGGACCAGTTTCTCTGATGCCATTTCAAAATGCTGGGTTTTCAATCTTGAATCCCCAATTTTTAAGCAGGTTTCAGCAGCATTGGATCCACATTTGCTGTTGCAGTTTTTCACATTTGTCTTTTTTTTAATTACCTGAGAAAATGGGTATTTGTTGAGGATTGTCATGGTCACAGTGGTAATGAACTGGAGAATACAACAGGAGCTCTGTCTTCAAGGGCAGTGCTGGCTTCTTTTCAGTTTCTTTGTTTCATGGTTCCCTCATCTCTTATATTTCTGTGTAATTGTTGAGTAAGTATAGAGGGATATTTGGCCGTCTAAGAAAAATGGATTTCCTTCCTATTGGGAATTGTTCTTGCATTTGGTTGCATTCTTTAAACAGAAGGAAGGAGATTGATCTTGGAAATGTTGTTTCTCCCCTTGGCCTAAACACCAGAAACAAGGCTGGAACACAGAAGTCTGTGTGAAGAGTTTTCCATTAGTTTCAGCAGTTAGATAGATATTCAGTCAAACCAAGGTGACAACAGTATTACAGAAATGTGGGGAAGAAATGTGTGTTTAGTTATGAAAACTTCATCCATAAGCTGACTGTATTAGGTAAGTATTTTAGTACTAAACATTAAGCCCTCTAGATAAACCTAATTAGTGTGTGGTATTCTTTCTTGTGTATAACTTTTGCAAGTGTTTTAAGTAAATAGGTTTTAATACATTTAGCTGATATTGTATCATTCATTAGTGAAGAAGTGCAACACAAGGTATATTTATGTATGTCAAGTTCTGTCTGGAAATATTATGAAGGTCATGTGAAAACAGATGATTGTTATATTGTTTTTTTACTTATTTAATATTTGTTATGTAAGATTGTAGTAAAAGATTCTTCAGAACGAATAGATATTAAATACAGTATTGCCTGTTAAATTAGAGTAAAAAAGAAAGGTTTGTTTACACTTTATTGTACTTTATAATAGGCTTCTTTACTTAGTAAATATTTTCATAGTGCAGTTGTAAGCTTAACACCAGAAGAAATGCAGCTAAATATCACAGCTGTTACATTAACTTTCAGCATAGATACCTGTGGAATCATTGCCTTAATCTAACAGACTCTAGATTTTGAGGCATTTATGACACTAGGATAATATATGAATGACTGACATTTCAACAAAGATATTTTACAGGGAAATATGTACTGTGAATATTTAGGTAATGAGAAGTAGCTGATATGATTATCTTGTAAAAAAAAACACAGATGCTATTTTATGTGTTAAGTTTTAAAGATTTTTTGTTTGATTTTACAGAAATATTATAACATTTGATTCTCTCTCCTCCAAAGCGTATGGGCCTACATTGGGACTGACACTAGGTATTCAATGTCTTGGTTCTTCTTACACTTCTGTGTTAAGAGAGCATTGTACAGACATGTTTTTTTGGGAGATTTGTTTGGAACTGGTGATATGTGTACTGCTTTAATACTGTCCTGTCCCTTGTCATGCTTCACAAAGGTTCTAGGAAAGGTAGGATTGAAAGTTGAAAGGTGTAAATTTCTAGGTGACTATATCTTGGACTCAAGCTTGTAGAGTTCAACCTGTTTGTTTAGATTACATTTAGCTGCTGAAGATACAAGGATTTTTATTTGAACTTAACTGGAGTTTGTTTTTGTGACAGACTCATGAATACCATGATAAGAAGTTTTAAGTTAGTGAAGAACTATGTAGTTATTGTTGAGGATAGTAGTATCCAAGCTTAACAGAAAGGTAATTTTGTTGGAATTCCAAACAAAACCCCCAAATTACACATAAGTTTAACAAAACCTGACCAGTGTTTATGCAATGAGACGAGGGTGTAATCCATCCATAGAACAGCAGTAATTGTAGCAGTAACACATTTAATTTTGCATAGTGAGTGAGCTTCCCATCCAAGCCTGACAGTGTGTTTTGTATTAGTAGTTGCTTGGATGAAGTTATACCCCAGACAGTGGTCATGGTGTAGAAGTAGAAGACTCACTGCTGTAGGTTAAAAAGAGGCTTGTGCTTTATAATGTTGCATTTAACAGATAATGCTGTAGTATAATGTAGGGTCTAGAAATATATTTTGTATATGACTGTATTGGTATTGTGACTGGGAAAAAGTTTAAGGAAATAAACAATATATATATTTATTTTTTTATATCAATGAAATAGGTTTTAATGCCTTTTGAACACTAGTCAATTGTATACATGTTCTTATATCTTTCTCCCTCTTCCAGTAAAAAAAAATAACATGAAATCTCATGATGAATCTTTTTATCTTCACTCATTATTTTCATATAGATATTGATATTTATTTTCAAACCTCATTATTTGAAAATTTCATGGTAGCTAAGAAAAACAATTTTCACCATTTTATCAGAATGAAGGATTAAGCACATTTTCCTCTTTTTTTATGTTTGTGTGTCCATGTGGATTTGATATGTTGCAATTGAGCATTGATATTGAGAAGAAAATAGTTGCATTTGTAGAGTTGTAATTTAGCTGTGGTCTTGAACAGTCAGCAACCCAGAAATTGATGTGTCTGAATTGAATTGTTGTTGTCTTTTTGTGCAAAAAAAGGTAATGAATCATTGAGATTTGCCTTTGCAGCATTGATGTTTGGTGGACTTTCCCATTGTTATCTACTGACTGTAATTGAGTGTTGCAGGTTTTGAATGACGGTCTGTTTTTTGTGTTGTGAAATAGAATTAAGTTTGTGTCCATTGGCGGAAGGATTGTTTAACCAGCTCATCCCATTACTAACCTCATGTGGTTTAATAATAACATTAGAGTAAGTTCTCAAAATGTACATATCTTGATTTCAGTATGACATACATTTAATCAATCCTGCAATGTACCAGATATTATCTCGTGTTATAAAAGGACATACATCACATGCAGAAGAAATTAAGTTTTATTGAACAAGACTGTGAACAGTTCTTAACTCGGATTCAGGCCTCCAGAATCATTTGAGTCTTTGAAAATTATCATTAAGAAGAAAAGATTAAAAAGAAAAAGATGAAAATACTTTTTTATATACCCAGCCAGGTATTTCATGACATAAGTTTCAGTATAATTTCATATTACATCATTAAAAGAAAAAGAAAATACTGGTGACTAGAAATTTTTGTTTTGTAAAAACAGGAAAAAAAGAAAAAAAGCACAGCATCAGTTAATGAATAACATATAATATATATATATATATATATATATATATATATATATATATATATATATATATATATATATATATTATATATGTATAATATGTATATGTATATGTATATGTATATATATATATATATGTATATATATATATATATATATATATATATATATATATATATATATATATATATATATATATATATATATATATATATATATATATATATTTATATATATATTATTTATATATTTATATATTTATATATATAATGTGTGCTATTTATTAATTATTTTTTTTCTCTATTTTCTAAACATGAAATGGTAACAGATAAAAGTAACTGGTGACAAATTGCAAATGATCAGACTAGCATAACAAAAAAACCTATGCACTATTTTGAATATATAGATCCTTCAGAAATGCCTGAAGAAGAGAGCTGTAGAGCGGTACCTGATACTGCATGGTAAAAATAGTAAAGAATATAAGAGATTTAGAATTGTAAAAGCATGATGAATAAATGTAAAAATGGAAATGTAGAATCAGGCTAAGGACTGTTCGGAGTCTTTGATATTTGTTTGATGTAAATTATGCCACGAGAGAAGTATTTGGGAAAGAGGAATCTGCAGGTCTAAAAGAGTAATAGCTTTTGGCTTATTTGTATATATATTCATCTTCCCTTTGATTTATTTATCATCTTATTTAAAGTTTTTGTATTTATGGTTACTGTGGTATTTTGTATATTTGTTCTCATTATTTTTAAACTTTACAGTTTTGCTTTGCTTAAGGCAAAAGCATAAAACACATTCCATTTCATATCAGTTTTCCTTTGTTTCAGTAGACTTGGATAAGTGATTGCAAGAAAAGATTTTTCTTTTTGTTTTGTGATATTTTTTTTTTTTTTCTAATAGATATATATTTGGATTCTTTGGCAAAATTTTGCAGCTTTGCCAGAGAAGGAAATTCAGATAACCAAAAATTGTAGGGATGGTGCACAGTAAATGCAAGTTATTAAACCATTTCCTTTTGCTAATCTGCCTCCATTACAACCCCAATAGAAGTACCATCGCAAGGTTCGTCCCGACGAGAGTCAACAGTGGCCTCCCCCACAGGCGAGCAGGGACCTCCTATCCTGGAGGTATCCTGCCCTGCTACACCAACACGGTTCACACCTCCTCTCTCATCTCGCTCGCGATCGCCATCACCCGAAAAGGAGGAGCTCTGGGAGACCATGGTCAGGCACAGGTCAGTTGTCTTTATATTTTGCTTTTTGTCTTTTTATTTATTTGTAGGTTTTATTGCTCTTCTGCTTCTTGTTTTTCCTGTTCTTTCGCTGGTCGGTTTGTCTCGTCAGGTCTGCATCATGTTTACAGATCTGTGTACCAATTGATTGTTAGTATTTCCTTGAATGTGATAGCTTTTACAATGTACAATGGTGGGACAGCAAAAGACCTGTTATTTTGTTGTTGGGCCGTGTGGTCTTGTTATTAACTGGTATCTAAGAGCTCCCTAACTGGTATCAGAGACCTCTTAGCATTGGATGATGATTGTTGATGTGAAAGCATTATAGAGTATGTTTTCATGTTGAGAATGTTCATTGAACATATTTGAACTTTTTTGGTAGTGTAAATATTTGAGAACATTTTCATCTGGGTAATTATCATATTCATTATACAAAAGTACTCTGGCATTCATCACTAGCAGGTATGTTTTTATTATCATTTATTTTTCTCCACTGCATGTTTTTTTTATATACCAATATCACACCTGCATGCATATTACAAGGAAGTCTGTTATTTATAATCACCTTTAATATTGCTAGCATTAACTTGACTATGTGCAATATATTATGGACGAGAACAGTAGCCTCATGGTTATGTGTGTTTGTGATTTTTCTATTAGTTTCAAGTTATCTTGTAACTAAGTAGGGAATTTATAGAGGTAAAGAACCTTGTTATTTTAAGTGGATTAATTCTTTCCCTTGTTTTAGTTTATGCTAAAAATTAAGACAAACTCTGGAACATATTTGAATACTGTTTTGTTGTAGACTCTCACTGTTTCTATCTTATCACACTAGATACTATGTATGATACTGATCAGCTGCTGATTCTTTACAGTAGGTTTGCTGGGACAGTTTACTCAGGAATGTCCCCCCTCCATAGGCTGTATGACTGACTGACTATGGTTTGATTAAGGCTTTTGTTAGGAAAGGCAAAAGTTTCAAAGAAGTTGGAAGGATTAAAATACATCAGTTCTGTCCAGACAAGAAGTAAGATTCTGCTAAAATCAGAGATGCCCATGTGTTTTAGGTATACTTCATGTACTCTAACATTAGTGAAGGTCTGTTTCTTGAGGATAGTGGCATATGACATTCAGTGCAGCAACCTTTGAGTAAAATCTTTTGAAAGATGTCTTCAAGTGCTGTCTCAGATTCAAATTTTCAAAAAATTGGAGCTGAGATTTTTATTATTATTATTATTATTATTATTATTATTGTTGTTGTTGTTATTATTATTAGTGAGTGTGTGTATGGATGGGTGTGAATGTGGGTGGGTGCATGTGTATGTGTGAGAGAATTTAATGCACTTCATTCATGTTGACATTGTATGCACTTTGTTTTTACTTTTGACCGCATGTCCTTGCCTGCCTCACCATCTTTTTTTCTAATATTTCTAATATTATGAAAGATATCTCCCACTTGCTTTTGACTTGTGTATTCTTGTATAAAAGTAAGATGACCAGCACAGTAATGACCATTGTTGGTTACTGTGTGAATTACTGTTGGGACTTTGCTGAAAATGGCTTGCTTGAAGTGGCAGTGTTGCAAGAAATAACTCATTAATCAGTATACTTCCTGAAATAATTCAGTAATTGGGGTTGCTTCTGTTTTAATAACTTTTGCAGTTGTAATATAAGCAACTCTAAACTCTTGAGAACTTACCTCTTTATCATACTAGTTTTAAGAAAGAATAATGGGATTTTATGGGGGGAAATTGCCTCATTATGGAAATACACAATCATTTCAATCCACAATTCAGATGTGAATAATTTGCATGATGAAAACCCACCGTATGTGTGTTATAGTATGCACTTAATTTTTGCTCTGTTTTTTCTAAGATAGTAAAGATGTTAACCAGTCTTGAAAGAACAAAAATAGTAGCTTTTATTAACTTATGTATTTTTTTTTTTCTCACTCTCTTCCTGCACAAGCAGTAGGTAAGACCAAACGTTCGTCGTGTGGTGAGTGTTAAGGTGTTTTTTTTATCTTCACTTAAAAATCTGTTTATTCAGTAGTTGCCTTCTCTTTTCCATTCTTTTTTTTTCCTGCCTTCTTTCATCTTTCTTAAATTTTGTAATTTCCTTGTCTGTTCTTGTTCTCCAGCTTTCTTCTCTTGTCATTAGTTTTGTCACCAATTATTATCTTCATTTTCCTTTTTTTTCAGTATCTTTTTTATCAGTAAGTCGTCCTTCTTTTACATTCCATTATATTGTTCATTTTCTCTTCTTTTGCTTCATATATTTCAAAATCTGCTTTACCTACCAGAAAAAATATAACTGGTAAGTGTTTAATTGTAAATAATTAATTATTAAGCGAGGAGTACATTAAGTTAGTAAACTTTAAGGAATAAGGTGGCAAAACCATAAGTAAGTAAGTAGGTAAGTATGGTAATTGCTAGTAATGAATAAGTAAGTAAATCAATAAGTAATGTATTGGTAGTCCATTAGCACCTGATCTATACATACTCCTTAACATTATTGACAAAGCAGTACCTGTACAAATATTCTCTTGGTATTTGTGTCAAGAAAAGGGAATATGCTTTTAATGTAAGAGTGTTTGAGGGTTAGGTTTATGATTATTTTTTCCATACTATTTTTTTTTTTTTTTGGGGGGGTGTAGAGGGGAGGTGAGGGGTAGCCTTGTGGTCATTCTTGGCACCTTTCTTGACGTCAATCATGCCATGAATTAGTCAGGGGGTATGTCTTTTTTTTCTGTGTGTGTGGATAGTTTTGTTCAGATATGTCTTTCCTCTTCTTGGTCACGGTTGGCCTTGGATACCAGGGCTTGTTTACCGTACTGAGAAACTTAGTCAAGACCCCATAACATGAGAGGGTTGGGTGAAAGGAAAAGGGGCTACAGGTGTTTAGATTGGAGCCCCTTGTTACGCCTTCCCCCGCTCTCCATGTTCCCTTCCTTGTCATGGCCTCGTTCCTTTTTTTCTTCATGCCGCTTCGCTTCTTTTTTCTTTTTCTTTTTTCTTGTTTGTTAGATTATCTATTCTGTGTTTTTTTTTCTTTTCTTTTTTTTTCGGCTGACAACTTTTTCTTCTTCTTTTTCTATCTTTTCTTTATCTATTTAATTTTTTTTCTTCTCTTTTTCCTACTCCTAGTCTTCTTTCTTTTTCTTCCTCTTCCTCTCTCCTTCTTCTTCTTCTTCATCTTCTTCTTCTTGCGTGGGTTCTTCCTTCTTCTCTTCTTTTCTTCTTCATCCATTCGCTCCTCTCTGCTCCACCTCCTTCCTGCCTCTCTCTCCTCCTCCTCCTCCTCTCAGCTCTCTTAGTTTTCCCTACTCGATTATAACCCCTCCTCCTTCTTTATCTTGTTGCTACTCTTACGGTCCTCTACCTCTTCCTAGTTTCCTATATCACCACCCACCCCCCTACATCTCACGTGCCCAGCCGCAGATCAAAACGAACATACAACGATTCCGCTTTATAACCCACCCTCCTCCTCCTCCTCACTCCTTCTCACTCTCCTCCCCACCTCCTCCTCTCCTCACTCTCCTCCTCCTACCTCCTCCTCCCCTCCTCCTCTCCTCACGATCACTCATCCTCTCTCTCCTTAATCATTCCATCCTCTTCCTACCCTCATGCTGCTGTTGCTTGCTTTGGCGGTCCTCCTCCTCCTTTTTTCTTCTTCTCCGCTAACACCCCTCTTCCGCACTCCTCCGCCCCGCCGCGCCTCTCTTCCGCTCCTCCTCCCCAGCTCCCCAGAAACTCATTTCACTTTTGCCGCTACTCTTAAATAACCAATCTGTTTTAAATAAATTTCCGTCTTTTTTTTTCTTACCTCTCGTACGAAAAATCGTTTCATAACAAAAAAAAATAAAACTGGTTCGTTGACAAAAATTACGAAAAAGAAGCACGACACCAGCGCCGCAACGTCGGAAGGAATCGGAAACAATAACGGCGGTCGGCAAAGGTTTATGCGGGAATGTGACATTTCATCGATTGTGTGTGTTTTGGCCGTCTCGCTGTGGCTTGGGCAGGGGGGGGGTGTAAGTTGACCTCATTGGGCGCTGGGAGGAATCCAGAGGGATGGAGCGGGGGGGGGGCGGGAAATCAAACACGCTCGCTGCAATTATCCACGCACATCCCGCACACACGCGAACCATAACGCGCGCACATATCTCTAACCGTCACACGAACAACACACAATACTCACGCAAAACACACCACGCACACGCACATCACGCACACGCACTGACAGCACACCACACACACACTACACACCCCACATCAAGCATCAGCACAACACACCACACACACACACACACACACATATTATCCACACAATCACATCTACACAGCTACACACCACACACACACACACATCACATAACACACACAGACACACACGTATTTTTCTTCCATCTTAACGAACGAAAATTTAGAACAGCCGAGGCGATACGAAATGGTTGACGTGTACACTCGTACCACTGCTCGGTAGAACTACTTAGTTATATGCTCTGTATTTTGTCTCCTTCCCCCTGTTCGTTATGCGAGGAATGTGGGTAGCACGGGATGAGAACGATAAATGGAATGATTCTCGGTCCTCATTTTTCCTGTCTTTCCTTCTCCTCTTGTGTCCTCCGCCATCTTCTTTACTCCTCCTTTTTCTCCTGTGCTAGCCTTGCTTTGTGCCTCTTTCTCACCTCTTCTTCTTTCTCACGCTCTCCTCTGTCCTGAGATCTACTTCAGCCGCTCCCATTCTCTTCTCCCTACCTCTCCTCCCTCCCCCTGAGCTCACCTCGCCCCTTAAGCTCTCTCGCTCCTCTTCCCTTCTCCATCCTCCACCTTAATCACTTTGAACCTTCTCACTCTCCTCGCTAATTCAATATCATGGCCATCTCATATCCTTAATAGACATGGGCAGACTCAGGTAATTTCCTTCTCTTTTTTGCGTCGTCTGTTCTTATCCTTTCCAATCCCTATTCTCCTTAGCCCTACCCTCGGGCCGTTGCGTATTTATAATATGTGCATATGCGTTCTATGTCTTATTGTCATGTCCGTTTTTGCGCATTTTTTTTTGGCGATCCAGAAGCATGTCTCGGTTCAGCAATGCGAAGGTTTTGCTTTGGGTGTATATATATAGTATATATTATTATATATATCATATATTATATAATATTATAAATAAATTATAATATAAGGCATAGTATATAATGGTATCTATATATATGATTTATCCCCACGAGTGAGAAGAGGATATGAGCAAGTTTAAGATTTCTTCTCTTTATTTAATTTTCTTGTGGTTTTTCCTTTTTCTTTTCTTCGTACATTGTATGTCTTTCCTGATTATCTTTCTACTCTCCATTATTCTGTTAGTTTGCCTTCTCTTCTTTTTCCGTCTTATATTCTCGTTTCATCATCTTTATCTTGGCGTTCGGTCTGTTCGTGGCGTCTCTCTGTCTCCTCTCCTCTCTCGGAGCTCTGTCTCTCGTCTCTCATCTCATTCGTCGTCTTCTTTCGTCTCTCCGTCTGGGTGGGGGGGGTGGTGGGGGGGGGGGGGGGGGGTGGCTGGAGCAGTTTATGCATGACCTGAGCGATTGTGCGCTGGTAAGTATTATCTGGTCGAGGATAACGTGCTGCATTTCACATTATTGTATATCTCTCTCTCTCTTTCTATGCTCTTGGGTGTTTATTGTATTATTTTGTCCTCGGTCTTTATATTAATGATAAGTCGAGCAATGACTTTTCGAAAGAAACCCGCAGGCAATCTCGATAAAATAAAAAAAAGAAAATCGCGCAAGTCATTGCATTCACCGATGACGTCATCGGAGCTCCGCATCCGTCGGTGACGTCACAGAGATCAAGGGTCATGTGACTGGACACGGGATGCTCGTCCGTGGCATTCGGGAGGCTGAGAATCCTGACATTCATCACGCGTGTTTGATTCATGGTTTGGGGACTTAGATACCGCTGTGTTCTCTGTTACCTGTGTGTTTTTTGGGCGGGGCGTGTTTGTGTGGTGTGTGTGGGATGTTGGCGGGGATGGGAAAGTGTGTACGTGTGTGGTTCTGTGTGTGTTTGTACGTCTTTGTATGTGAACGTGTCTATGTGGGCATGTGTGTGTATATGTATATATATATATATTATATATATATATATATA